ACTCAGGTAGATGGAAGCTTTGGGGAGAGTTCCCTATAAATTAGCTAGTGAAGGTACAGATCTCTGAGGTGGGGAGAGTGCTGTAGGCTAGATGGAGAACTCCTCACCCTCTCCTAACTAGCCCCTGTATTTTGTCATTGGCCTCCAGCTCCACCTTGGTAAGGTGAAATTCTCATAGTTTCCGACAGACCAATGACCATGGACTCTAGTTTCTTTATGGTTGTAAGTTGCCTTTCTTGGTATATTGTCATGACTATTTTAATTTCAAATTTTGGGAAGCAGTAATCATGGACCACTAAGAAGCCACCACCTCACTCAAATAAATAACTTCTTTGTAGATAGTCTTCAAAAAAACATCTTCTGTTATTTAACATAATTTCTTTAATGAGTATGTTATGGTGAGTGTGATGTGATTATTTCAGGAATATTCATTCATAAAAACAATTGTATCTTTGTAGTCAAAATCTAGAACTCATATTTGAAATTATTACGCATTCCAAAATCAAGATATCTTCTGTGCTAGGGAGGTTTATCACCACTGCTACTTTCTCATTGATGCATATTTTGTACAAGAACAGTTGTAAACATATTACATTCATATATTTATTTAATTACATTAAAATCCTGTTAGGTAGATATCATTATTATCTCCACTTAATAGATGAAGCAGATGAGTTAAAGAGCAACTAAGTAACTTGATCAGGGTCACATAACTAGTTAGATCCAATAGGTGACTTATGCTCTTACCTAGCATGATAGAGCAGGGACTTAGAAATGACCATTAAGAAGTGAACATTTCTAAGCAAGACATTCTGAAACCAGGAAGGGTGGTTAAGACATTTATTTGGGGAATTTTCTACAGAGCATCCATGCTAGACTGCCTATGCCTGTTCTACTCTAATAATACTTTAGAATCTATGGGATTTTTAAAAATGCTCTCAGGTGATTCTTCTTAATTCTTACTCTTCCCTAGTTAAAACCCAATCCTAAAGAAAGAAATTGAGAACTAGAGTGATGATTATCAAATGTGAGTGTATATGTCAATCAAGTGAGAATTTTGATAAAATGCAGATTCTAATTCAGGAAGCTTGGGATGAGGCCTGAGATTTTGCATTCCTACAGACTTCCAAGCAATATTGATGCTGCTGGTCCATGGACCACTGTTTGAGTAGCAAGGATCTAGATTCCTTGGAACTTGGTGCTAACCAAGTGCACTTCCCCTAATATTATCAATGTAATGGACCAGAATGATATTCTGTGGAATATTATGATGCTCATGTTTAATATTATACTTACATGGGTTATCTAGTGATATAGTTGTTCTCATAATATTTTAATATATACCTTTTTTGTCTGAGACACATTTTCTTGTTCTTCCTACATGCCTTTTTCTCTCTTACATTTTTAACTAAACTTTGTTATCTACAATTATTTGACTTGAGTTTGATCTGTTTGCCTATCTTAGATCTAAGTAGAAAATGGTCTTAAAATATTGAATATAAATGATGATTGGCATCTCATTCATAGAAATGGAACACTTTCTCTAACTTTGGGAATAAAAAACTTCTTTATGTGAAATATAAATCCTTTGGGAATTATGTGTTTTGAACTGCTGTTGTCCCCTTAAAAGGATTGTCTGCATTCTCTGGAAATTTAAATTGCAGGAAAAAATTTAGTTACCTAAATTTGAAGAATAGCCTTAAAGCTCAATTTTTAAATATGCAAAGATATATTGCTATGGTGTAAATGTGTCTCTCAAAAAGCATGTGTTGGAAACTTAATCCTCAATGCAACAGTGTTAAGAGGGAGGACCTTTCAGAAGTGATTACGCCATGAGGGTGACACCCTCATGAATGCATTCATGCTGTTACTGCAAGGGTGGGTTTGTTATCACGGGAGTGGATTCCTTATAAAAGGATGAGTTAGGCTTTCTCTAACCTTTTTCTCTCTCACCCCCTTTGCCCTTTGGCTTTCCACCATGGGATGACCCAGCAAGAAGGGCCTTATAAGATCCAGCTGCTCAGCCTTGGACTTCTCACACCTCAGAACTGTGAGAAATAAATTTCTGTTTATTCAGTCTATGGTATTCTGTTATAGCAACACAAAATGGACTAAGACAGATACTGTACAGAATATTAATGAATGATATGTTCATTTCTATAAATGAGAAAAATAATATACAGGTTGATTTTGTAAAGAATCAAGTGATTAAAAATTGGGACCATTTTCAGTTCTTTGAAGCATCTGCAGAATTGGTCATGCCCAGTATTCTGGCCACACTGCCACGTCATGCAGTGCTCTGTGCTGGAAACAATGAGGTCCTAACCATACTCTCTTCTTGTCTGGATTTTGACTTTCCTCCAAAGGCCTGCCTCAGTTTCTGCCCATATTTTTAAACCTGGATCCTTAAGCTTCCAGTCAATTCTGGGAACTCCATGATGTCTGTCCAATAAATTAGGTTTTTGTTTAAAACAACTGGACTTTCTCTCTGTTGCTTGCCAATCAGAAGTCTGATTAATAGGCATCTTTGATCTGCTTCAGCTAAGGCATTTGGGCTTCTGTTTCTTGTAACCAAAGATCCTTGACTTAGTCTCCTCTCAAACAAAAATGCCACAATGAATGGAAAGCCAGACTCTTCTCTCACATTGTTTTTCAAATTGCCAAAAGACTATAGAGCAGTAGTTCTTTATCTTTTTTGGGTCATAAATAGCAAAAAACATTGTTGGAGATTACTATACCCATACTCCAGAAAAATGTACATGCATATATTGACACAACATTTTACATTCAGTATTAGGAAGTTCATAAAACTCCTGAGATGATACAATAGATTCAGGTAAAATGTTATGAAATATTTTAAAGGAAATTTTAAATAAAGGAATAGACAATTTTTAAAGGATTTATATTGTACTTTGCAACATCTTCTCCAAGAATAGATATTGTATACAGACTAATTCTTGCCTGTTACAAATAGCCGGTTATGATTTTGGTTTGTACTTACCACTAAGGTCATTGACAGTGGACTCTGGGTTTTTAATACCTGATCATACTTCTAATTCTAGGCTAGGAGGCCTAATTTAAAGTTAAGGACATTACCAAGAACTCATTATGTATTTGTCTTTGCTTCATATTAAGAGATTGTGGATTTGTGCAGTGTGGTTTTATGCAGTGTAGGATTTATGTAAAGTAGGATTCCAGCTGCCAAATGATTGGGGATCAGTTAGCGTGTGTCTGTTAGGAGAGAAGAGGATCAACAAATGATATCCCACAACATACTTTCCAATTCCATGATTCCTATGTCTAGATATTTTATGTATTTTCCTATAATTGGGTAGTTTTCTTTTATTATTTCTTTGAATAAATTTTCTATTCTCTATCTTTATGCTTGTTTTGGAACACCTGTCATATATATATTGGTTTACTTTATGTTTTCTTGTAATTCCTATAGGCTTTCTTCTGTGTTTTTTTTTTTTTTTCCATTCATTTTTTCTTTTGTTCCTCTGACTGGATAATTTCAGATGACCTGTATTTGAGCTCACTGATTTTATTCTTCTGCTTGGTAGGGTTTGCTGTTGAAGCTCTCCATAAAAATTTTTCATTCAGTCATTTTGTTCTTTACTCCAGTATTTCTGTTTGCTTCTTTTTATATGTTTTTTTTTTTCTCTCTTTGAGAAAGAGATGCTAAAATCATTTCACAGCTAAGGACCTTGTGTCTGAAAGTTAGCATTGATGAAAAGAAAGGAAAGTCTCCTGATGGAATAGAAAGAAACTAGATTGGAGTAAAAATGTCCAGGTTCTAGAAGCACTGACGCCGAACTGTGTTATTGGTAGTTTAACAAATAACCTTTCTGAGCCTCACTTTTCTTACTAGTAAAAACATTAGTTCAGAGATCATGATACCTGAAACTTCTGTGGGTTTTATCATTGTAATTATAAGCAAGTAACCTACATTATCTAATCATTTCTGAGAAAGTGTGATTTGTTCATTGCTATAATAGAACCTGTGGTCTCCTTGCTTTCTGCAGCTACCTAATGTTTTAAATTATGATTCACATTCAAATTTTGATTCTCTCTATTAAAACTGCCATTGTTAAAAAGTGAGTGTTGGGTTTGAGGTGAAGTGATGTGGGTGTATGGGCAGGAAGGAATTTTGAAAAATGGTGATGCCAGTGGAAAACTTTCTTCTTTGCTGTAGGCTTCTGCTGTCTGAGGCATTATTTCCAAGTTAAGTACTAGTTTCCTCTCAGAGTTTATTAGAGCTTATAGCCATGTTTTTTATGAGGACTTGTGATTCACATTTTTTACATGTAAGTTTTTTATGTACATTAAAACTTAAATTCTAAATGTGTATAATACAGTAGTGGCTGGTGTTGAAGAACTTAAATGTGCTTCTTAAAAGATAATAAAGTTTCCATGTAGAGACTGTACCCAAATTATGAATACTGGAATTATAAACCTACCTTTGTGTGATTGTGAGGCAGGTCGTTTTCCAACTTAATCCTCTCTCTGTGAAAAAAAATCAATAATATCTGAGATGCAAATGATCTAGAGTGATGCCACTTTCTATACTTTCTCTGACAAGGATTTCTTCCAGGATACATCCATCTCTCTCCCCCTGCCTCTCCACCCACCCAGCTGGGCTCTACTCCCAGAAGGTTCTGACCAGGTTGGTCTGCTCTTGGGCCAGGAGTTTCCTTTTTCAACTCCCTGTGCAAATGATTACATTATAGGTGGTTCATAGGCCAGATTTTGAAAACTGTCACAGATCAAGTCAGGCTTAAATACCATCCATTAATGAGGACACTCTTCTAAGGTTGATATTGGGAGTTAGTATGATTTAAAAGATTCCTAATTTGGAATTTTTTTTCCGTTTAAATTAGCTAATCCGAACATAAAAGTTTATGTTGCAGCCCAATTCTAAGCTAGTGATTGCCTGTAAAACCTATCCTAGTCCTCTTTGGAGGCTCATTTGCTGACCATGTTGTTGTTATTTTTAAAAGGGTCTATTTCTGCTCATTTGGCCACCGACAATTCTGTGAGTTTCTTATCCAAGTATGATGGAGGAAGCATTCATCAACAATCATTTCCCTTGAACACAACTCTGCCTGAGAGGCTGAGCAAGAACGCATAGGTTAAAAGGCAGCAAGTTAACAATGCAAAGGTGGGGAAACAACATTGTTTGATTTTGTTTGTTGATTTAATTTGTTTTAGGCTATGATGTGTCGTTATCCTATTAACAAAGACAATGAAATAAAAGGAAACAAGTAAATAAATAAAAAAGTGATACATAACTGCATTTGTTCTGCCCTTGTAGGACAGGGAAGAGAAAGCTGAAGCTAAATCCATCTGACCTGTGTTCAAATTCTGAGCATGAAATGGATTAGCTCTGTAACCTGTATAGAACAATCACCTGCAGGAACTTAAATGTCCTCTTGTGTTTTAAGTGCCTTTTTCATTTACAAAAAAAAAAAGAAAAAATGGAAATAATGTTGTGACGTTTGAGATCAAATAAAGGTGTATTTATTTATTTTAAGACCATTTAAGTGTAGTAGTGGGAAGGGGGAAAGAGCAGAACAAGGAGTTCATCTGTAACTGACTGTGAACTTCAAGTAGCAGTTAACAACAGAGAAGGAGAGAATGGAGCGGGTCTCCCACAAAGAGCTTTTGCACTTGTATAACCAGAAGGTTTTGCCAGTCTGAGGATTTCAACACATTTGATTACAAGTAATGTAACTTGGGCACTGGTCCTGTCCCTCTTAAACAAATGCCACGTTTTACCACTTGGCTTCAATGAATAGAAACTCGTTTATAGTGTTTATGGTTTTTTTTTTAAATAGGTTGTTAGTATTTCGTTCCTCTGTTTCTGAGAAGTTAAAAATGACTGCTGGCACAGGAAGCATCGAGGATTTACTGTGCTGTTCCAGCTCTCTCCAGGTAGGTGAGGCATGATCAGGATGGTCAGAGGCTTGGGAGGGTGGAGTGGAAACCATCAAATTTTCCTAGTGCAGTTTCAAGTTTATTTGCCAAAAGCACATAGGGGAAAAAAAGTTTCTTTTCTATGTCCCTTTGTAAATTTGCTTAGTCTTCCTTCACTTTGCTAATGTCCTGGACTGAGCTAAAATACCACAATAAACAAGGAACACATGTAAGGACTCCATATATTCCAGAACAATAACAACCTCTGTGGCAAAGTTCAACAAATGTGAATGGCAGAGCAGGCCAGGGCTGAATCTGTGTGGGTTCCATTTTTAGATGTGGAGTTTTGCCGGCCCAGGTTTGTCTCTGCTGTGTGTTGCATTTGGTTATGGCCATTGTTTTTTAAAAATCATCACCTGATCTCTCAAATTACTGAGATTTGTTTTTGAAAGAAGTTGAAGATGTAGCCAGGAAAATGATTAAACTGATTTAACATAGCATCAAGGCGACACAGAAAGTGAACAGAAAGCGATACACAGGGAAAAGGATCAAAGGCCTCAAAGTCCCAATAATGTCAATAAACAAAGGCCAGTAGTGATGACAGCCAAAAGGATTGAGATTAGGTCACAACATGGAGTGTTTAGTTCTAATGTTTCCAAAGTGGATCTGCTACAATGTAGACAAGGTCCAAGATGTGGCAGACCACTGATAAGGCATGGATGTAAAGGTCTTTGGTGATGAAGAGGTTAAGAACCTGGAAATCTCGAGTGCTGCACAGAGATCCTGAAGTCAGCCAGAATCATGGTTGATCGTGGGGGAATGATATATGGACCATGATTCTAAGGAAAAGTCTTTAGTGACTGAGGAGGAGAAACCAGAAGATAAGAATGTGTGGGAGATTGCAAACATGACTGTGAACCTTCATTTCTCTCTGTATCCATGCCTTTAGCAATTATAACACTGCAAATCTTCCTATCAAGAAGGTGTCTATTTCCCCTGCCCTTGAATTTGTGTTGGTCTCATAACTTGTTTTAGTGGATGTATAGAATGTAGCAGAGAGGATGGTGTGTCAGTTTGGTGTGCCTAGGCTTCAAAAATCTTGAACGCTTCTTGTACTTGGGTGCTCTCCTGTAGTCCTTCCCAGACATCATGTGAATCAGTCCAGGCTAGTCTGTTGGAGGATAAAAGACCATGTGGAGCAGAAATATGCTTTCCCAGCTGAGCTTATCCTAGTCTAGCCATCCCTCAGTCAAGCTGAGAGCAAGAGTAATTCCAGCTGAGAGCAGAAGAACAGCCCAGCTGAGCATAGTCCAAATTGCTGTCCTGCATAATTACAAGTTAAGTGAATAATTGTTACATGTGACTAAATTTTAGGCCAGTTTGTTATGCAGCAAAATCTAAAAAATACAGACACTACTGTGATAAGGATTGTATAGGAAGTAGAATACTGAATGGCATGAGCCTCAGAGAAGCGGAATCTTTTCAATAAAGACACAGATTACTCCAATCAGTCTAAAAAGTGGTTGTCATTATTGGAAATGCACTAAAATATTTGATATCATTTTATCCCCTTCTTATATGGGACTCTAAGAGATAGTGTTATGACAAAAATAATAACTAATATGTTATATAGATTTTGGGAACTCCACACACATGTTCAGTTACATAATCACTTACTAAGATTTAAAACCAATTCTTTTATTTTTATATATGATTCAAGTAAGATAAGAAAGGAGATAATTTATGTGTAATAAAACCCAGCTCTTATTCTCTTCATCTGAACTGGTCTCTATTTTATGTAGAAATTATTCCAATTCAACTTTTTGTACTAGATTAAACTTCATGCTCATTTTATCCTTGATTAGATTTTCTAGGTATTCTATTTTTTACTGATTACCTTATTTCATTACAACTGTTCAAAGGATAATACCATAAAATATACTCTTTGCATCTGCCATTGACTATAAACATTTGGAACATGGTATTAAACTTAGCCTTTATGAATCTTGCAGCCCTTTTTAATATTTATGGATCCCCTGACTTTGAGCCTCTGTGTACAGAAATTCCAAATTTGCCAGATTCCTCTAATTAATTGTCCTTCTAATGTCGGCCACCCATAGAGGGCTCCTTTCTTCCATCACAAACAACAGAGTATTAAACCTCCTTGGAATTAGAAATTATTTCCCATCCTTCATTATCTCCCCACAGTACCTAGTGTAATGCTGCACAATACAGATAGCATATTCAATAAAATATTTATGATTTGCTTTTAAATTAAGCATTACAGATGTGATGATGTCAAGATTAGGCTGAAAAATTAGAAAGTTATGAAACTATTTAGAACAAGATATTTTCAATAAACAAGATACTTTCAGTAAAAACCTTAATATGTCCTCTCCTTTTTGGTACACAAATCTAAGTATCAGTGACAAAAGCTGATGATCAGGGAATCATTTCTACTTGATATATTTTCTTCTCTGGGCTCTGTCATTCTTCATACAAGTGCTTTATAGGCCATTATCTTTCACACCAATCCTTTCCAGACTCTCTGGTTATTAATATAATTAATTAAAATTGGCATAAAGATGAAGCATTTACTTTTTCAGAAAAAAAAATCCTGTTCTATAACCCACATCTTCAATCCTTGCTTAATTTATCCTCGGTTTGGGGTTCCTGAGTTTATGCTAATTTACTAGTTTGCTCTACAGAGTAGCTTATAGACCAAGTGTGTAACCAGAGAATGAAGCTGAGTCCTAATTACCCATTTTTTTAAAAAGCAAAATAATGCATATACTGTTATATGTAATGAATATCTGGACTTGGCTGTATGCTTTCCAGGTACTATGTTAACTGAAGCCTGTCTCTGAAATCTTTAACAGCAGAAACAAAAGCACACAAGAGTCTCATTATAAAGCCATTTTCGGGTAGCCAGTGTTTGTGCACTAATGAAGCTTTTCCTAACCCAGACCTGTGCTTTACTGAATGTCTGATTCCAGTGATGCTCTTTAGAGCACACCCCTGGTATCAGTTCATTGCCAAATCACTCTCTGCATGGCCATCAATTCTAGGAAAGCAGCTTCTTAAGAAAGCAATATATGGCTCACCGCTGCCAGTGGAATAAGTAGGAGACAGGACAGAGAAAAAGACCTGTGACAAGGAGCTAATCTACAAGATGTCAGGATCACAGGTCTTGAGTCTTGAAAGCAAATTAGCAATTGTCTGGACTCAGTATGTTCTGCATGCAAATGCAGCTAGGTTTTTCCTTTTCATTTGTTTGGGGGAATTTCGAGAAATGTCAGTATTCCCTGACATGAATTCATAAGATTTGGCAGGGACTGCGCTGCTGTTTCTGCCAAAGACCATTGCTTTTTTCCCACTTTCCATTTGGCTGCCTTTGGGCTGGATGGAGGGCTGCCTCGCAGCAGGGGGAACAGAGCTGCAACCTGAGGATTGTTTGAGCACTGGGAGCCTTTGGGCTTGGTCTGGTCAGAGGCCTGCAAGGGATGAAAGCCACTCAAAGGGGAGCTGTGTGTACGTTCCACTGAGCAACAATTTTGGGGAAAATATGAATAATCAAAATGCTCCAGGGGTACATTGAGCATAAAAGTGGATATTTTGTTTGCATAATAATGGAATGGCTTATGTAGATAGGTTTTTTAGGTTTGCCTGAGTCTCAGTATTTTTTACTTTCCTTCCATACACATTTTCTCCTCATATCCTTAGTCCTCAATTGAACACTGTCATTCGGTTCTAAATGATTAATTTATTCACGTGTGACAGACCCAACCCAACTTGGAAGCCAGGACCCAGTATTTATTAGTTGATTAGCCAGATTCACATATTTCTAAGGAAAGGGTTTTAAATAAAATTTTCCGCAGAAACAGCTTCTGAAGTTGAGCAGAAGCATTTCAACGTGAGATGTGCTGAAACGAGGACACACAGAAATCTGTCCATTTCAACACATCTGCTTATGAGAGGTTGTGTTTCTTACTTAGCAAGGCTTCCAACAAATATTAAGGAGCTACTTTGAAACTTATGTAAGTTGCAAGATCATAAGAAACAAAATTTTAAAACTTGTTCAATTGCCAAGTCATGCTTGGATTTATAGTCATTGGCTGTTATACATTTGAAAAGATTCTTAGAGATTATTTAAGGCTTCCTTATTTATTAATTTAGGCAAAAAAATAAAAATAAAAACCCCATATAATTCTAATTAGATTTCCAGAATAAGAGAAGACAGGAGATGAGGAAATATGTAACATTTTAAGAGTAAAAAAGGTGGAGAATTTTTCAGAATATTTGTATTGGGAAATAAAACCTAAATAATTCAAAAAATGTCAGAGAAGAGATTAAATAAAGATAGAATAAACAAAATATTGGGAATTGTTTTTAAGAGAGAAATAAATAAGTATTTGTGGAATAAGCTTGATAGTTAAGAAAGTTAAATAATCATGTGGGTTAAGAAAAAACAACCGTAATAAAAATATTTTCCAAACTCATTTTTTGAGGTGAGCATTTCCCTGATACAAAACCCAGACAAAGAGGTGACATGAAAATAAAGCCACAGGCCAAATTCCCTGATGAATATAGATGCAAAAATCTCTAACAAAATACTAGGAAATTAAAAAAAAATTAGGAAATTAACTTCAATATCATATTAAAAAGGATCATATGCCATGGCCAAGTAAGATTTATTCCTTGGATGCCAGGATGGTAAATCATTAAATGTGATATACTGTGTTAGCAGAATGAAGGATAAAAATCACATATTCATCTCAATAGATGCAGAAAAAGTGTTTTAAAAAATTCAACACTTTTCATAATAAAAACTCTCAATAAATGAGACATAGTTGGAAGAAACTTAGCTCAACATAATAAAGGCCATATATGACAAGCCCACAGCTAACATCAAACTTAACAGTGAGTAACTGAAAGATTTTGCTCTAAGATCCAGTACCAGGCAAGGATGCCCACTCTTATCACTTCTGTTTAACATGGTACTAGAAGTCCTAGACAGCAATCAGGTATGAAAAAAATGGCATCCAAATTGAAAAGCAAAAAGTAAAATTATCTGTTTTCATATAACATGATCATTATATATATATATATGTATGTTATAGATTAAAAGCCATAAAGACTCCACAAAAATCTTTTAGAACTAATAAATTGATTATTTAAAGTTGCAAGATACAAAATTAACATATGAACATCAGTTTCATTTCCATACACTAACATTGAAATATCTTAAAGGGAAATTAAGAAAAAAATCCTATTTATTATAGCATTTGTAAGAATAAAATACTTAGGAATAACCTTAAAGAGGTGAAAGACTTGTACAAAGAAAACTACAAAACATGGATGAAAGAAATTAAAGACTCAAATAAATTGAAGGACATCCCATGTTCGTGAACTGGACCCACCAAAATCCTAATGACATGTTTTTCATAGATATAGGAAAAAAATCTTAAAATTTACATGGAACCACAAAAAACCCTGAATTGCCAGAGCAATCTTGAGACAGAACAAAGATAAAGGCATCCACTTTCTGATTTCAAAATACATTACAAAGATCAGAATAGTATGGTATTGGCATGAAAAGACATAATGACCAATGAGACAGAGTAGATAGCCCAGAAATAAACACAGGTATATACATTCAATGGATTTCCAACAAGAGTGCCAAGAATATGCAATGAGGAAATGATAATCTCTTCAACAGATGGTGCCAGAAAAACTGACTATTGACGTGCAAAAGAAATTGGACCCTTATCTTTCACTGTACACAAGAATCAACTCAAAGTGAATTGAAGAGTTAAAGGTAAGACCTGGAACTGTAAAACTTTTAGAAAAAGACATAGGGGGAAAATCTTCATGACGTTGGTCTTGAAAAAGACTCTTTGAATATGACCCCAAAAGCACAAGCAACAAAAACAAGAGTAGGCAAATGGGACGATATCAAACTAAAAAGCTTCTGCACAGAAACTCTCTCTCTGTCACACACACACACACACACACACACACACACACACACACTGGAGTGAGAAGAGAACCCACAAAATGGCAGAAAATATTTTGAAATTATATATATGATCAGGAGTTAATATCTAAAATATATAAGAGATTCCTATAACGTAATAGCAAAAGATCAATTAACTTGACTAAAAAATGGGCAAAAGACTTGAAAAGAAATATTGTGGGAAAAAAGAACACATACAGGTATATATGAAAAGGTGGTTAACATCAATGGATGGTATTAAAAAAAAGCCCAAAGAAAACAGAAGATAAACATTGGTGAGGATATGAAAAAATCGAAACCCTTGTACACTGTTGGTGGGAATGTAAAATGTGTACAGCCATTATGGAAGACAGTATAGAAGTTCTTCAGAGAATTAAAAGTAGAAATACCATATGATCCAGCAGTCCCATTACTGGGTATCTACCCAAAGGCAAATAAGTCACTATATCAAAAAATGAAAGAAGCCAAATAGGAAGGCTGCATACTCTATGATTTCATTTATATGGAATTCTAGAAAATACATTATTATGGAAAGCAGATCAATGTCTGGGCTAGGGGTCAGGGAGGAACAGCATGAAAACAGGTATGAAGAAACTATCAGGGTGAGGGCAATTTCTACATCTCGGTTGTGGCATTGTTATACAACTGTACACAATTACCTAAATTCTCAAACTGTTCCCTTAAACTGGGTGAATTTTAGTGTATGTCAATTATGCTACAACAAAGATAAATTTAAAAAATAATGTTAGATTAATTCTCTCATAGCTCACCATCACATAATTATTTTAAGATTTTAGTTAGTAACAGAATATTCCAGGTTTGTTAAAAATTCAGATGTTTATGTTCCATCCCCGATATTCTCATTCTGTGCATCTGGCATGGAACCTGGGAAGTTGCATTTTCACCAGTAGCTGAGGGCATGGTCTATGTATAGGTGGTCTACAGACCTGGAACTACAGAACTATCTAAATTCCTCCTGAGTAAAAATGAAATTTTAGATTTTATGCCATCAAGGAGCAAGTATTATGCAAACGTTATTTGTCTGTACAACAACCAGCTAAATTCAACACTTAGTAAATCAGTTTTGTAACACAAAATTTATAAAAGTCGTCATATGTCAATGCACCTTTGGGAGTTGTGGCTGATGAATTATTTAGGAAAGTGTTAGCTAAGGAGAGTGTGGAAACCACGGCTTTAGAAAAATCAGACCTCAGGAAGTCCTCATGTGCCTCATGAAGGCACTTGGCAAACCCAGAGATCTGGGACGTGCTTGGGAGCTCCCCATTAGGGAGAGAGAGCAGATGCTGCCGCCCTGTAAGGTGCTACCTGTCAGGGCTGTCTGGAGTACATCTGGCTCCACTGTGATCAGCACAGTGATCAGAACTCTTCAGAGAGTGCTCTTTCTCTTCTCCTGAGAGGAGGCAGTGAGCAATTCAGCAGTATACTTTCCCAATTCCTGAAGAGGAGCCAGGGGCAACCAACTGAAATCCGTGTCCTGCCTTGAGGAACTCTCCTGAGTGGGGAGACTGACTATGCAGGTCCTAGGTGTGTCCTCTGAGATGCAGCAAGAGGAAATGGCAGAGAGCCAACAGCAGCCCCTATCCTCAGCCGGAGGAGGAGCTGTCTCCCTTCAGATAAGAGAAGATTTGCCAGTGGGGAGATGCCTGGTCCCACCACTTTGGGAGAATCGTTATAGTAACATGTGAGTACATCACAACAGAGTCTACGATGTGGGATTTGCAGTGTGTCCGATGCCCGTCGTCTCCAAGGAAACTTTGGCTGCTTGATTCTGCTGAAAAGACCACCACAGGGGCCGGTACCGGCTGCCTAGTGTGTGTGCCCAGTGCAAAATCAAAATGTCAGGCCCCTAGCTCAAAACATGTCAAGAATTTTAAGATGACAACATTACACCATTAAATCAAATGTTCTATGGGTTGAGCCCCATGAAACTGCACAGGTCACAAGCCCAGGAAGCCACCAGCCCTAACTAGGAGGGTTCTTAGTACAGCCAAGCAAGAAAAATACTGAAATTCTATCCTGGAGTCTTCTCAAATGTGAGTGATTAACAGAATTGTGTGCAGAACATTGAATTAATGAGGTTCCTAGTCACTCAAAAAGGAGAATCTGATGTAAAAGGTGGGGGGCAACTAAAGAGTCACATTTTAACTTGCCAGGTGATTCTACTGTACAGACAGGTTTGGTGATCAGAATTATATAGGACACATACTCATTTGCTTATTTACTTAATTAAAAAAATTTTATGGATACATAACTCATACTAATTTATTTAAGAGGGTTGTGAAGAGGCTTGAATTGTCATCTCATATTGTTCAAACTGAAAAGAACTTTATAATCCTATCTGATGTTCATCTCTTTAATATTACTTGTAGGTTATTATGGTAATTATATCATTATGTAAATGTTGGATTCAGCTAGGGAATCTAAATATTGTTGTGTCAAATTCTGTGCTTCACTTTTCAATCCATTCTCGTCGTTAAATTGACTTTTACTGAAACATCCATTTTGTTTTTCTTAATCTCTACTTCTGCTACTTGGACCTTGAAAAAAAAATCTAGTTTTAAAAATATTTTCATAATATTCATTCTTAACACTGTTTAAAACTCTTAGATGAGCCTTCCAGTTCATAAATAAAGAAGTAAATCTTATGCAAATGCCTGCAATGTAAAAAACTGGTGTATGAAAAGAATTTCTTACCACCATGCCTGGTAACTGATTTCCAAATTACCAAAGTTATTAGATAATATTACATAAAATTTAGTTTTGGGCTTTTGAAATACATTTTTATTATTTTTAATGTCTTTGTGAATATTATACTCCCTTACATTCCATTTGGACAGAGCGGTAGTAAACCTCCATATCAGAGGTTCCTGTGCACAGCGAATTGAGCAGACAGACAGGCTGTGACCTCAGAGCTGGTGAGGCACTGAGACACAGTGCAATGCAATGGGAGATACACAAAGTAGTTAACAAGTCTTTGAGACTATTTTGATTAAATCGCTTACTAAATATACTGGCGTCTAATGTAGTCCCATCGCTATAGATATAAGCTCCGTATTCTCATGACATTTTCTCATTTCCTTTATTTGGAAGCAGGGAAGGGACAAGATTAAAAAGAATATTTTCCCAGAACTTACTTTCCCAAACAAAATGTGATTTAGAAATAAATAGATTTTCAGGTAGCTATTCTTCCATGAGCAACTATCCAACTACGTTAAGGTACATTTCAATTTCCCTCAGGGCTATTCCGTTTACTTTCCTGGTAAAAGGTGGAAGGAAAAGTGAGGGTTATACTAAGCAATTGCTTCACAGACCTCTCTAAGTGCAAGGTCCAAGTGCATTTCCTGCCTCTGTTTCAGTCCATCTCCTGGTGCTTATTAGGAAGCTGGCAGCCTTGGGCAGACGGAGAAAACTGGCAGGATTTGTTGTTGATTTGTAAAAAGCAGCCCAATTTGTTACATTTGCTAAGCAAGTCCCCTCTGTGGTAAAGATACAAGGACTACTGAGACTCCTAGTTAAGGAGAGTCTTTTTCATAATATGGGGACAAAAGCTTCAACTGAGAAGATGACTAACATGGCGGGTCCCCAAAAACCCAACAAGGTGCCCAGCCTTGATTCTGTTAATGTATTATTGCCACTGTGACACACATTCAGTGGCAAATGCTGATCATGATCAGCAGCCTGGATCAGGGCTTCCTGTCTCCTTGTCTCCAAATCTCACCTTAGAAAAGTGGGTGTGGATATGAACATCCCATGTTATTTTTGCCCAGAGAACCCCAGATTCTTTTGCAAAGTGTCCAGTCAGATGCAAGTTTCAAACCTTTCAAGTGTCAGAAGGCTTCAGTCTTTCCCAACATCCTGTCCCACGGTTGCCAGTCTTTACCAGGTGAGAATTTGTGCCATTTGCCCGTGACTTCCTACACATCGAGGCCAGGGAGTCTCCGGTTCTCTGTAGAGAGAAGCTAATGCTGTTCCACTGACATCTCAGCCCTGAGGAAGGAGAGGGAAGGAAACCTGTAACATAGACATTTCTGAGAGAAACAGAGGAAAAGACATTTCCTGCAAACAACAAGTATCATGTCAGTGTAGCAGCAACAAGATTGGGGATTTATCATGTAAACATCTGAACTTCTAAGGTTTAGATTTACTTGTTGAAAATACATCCAGAATATAGAAATGTTATAGAATTTCTTAAAGTAGTTCAGCAGCAGCCTCACTGTCTATGGGGCAAGGATCGTAATTATATCTCCCAGATTTATTGTTAAACTCAAACATTTGGAAAACCACAATGGGTTTCTGAAGTCCCCCAGATGAGACACCAGCATTACCATACATTGCTCAAACCCAGAACATCGTGGCCACAGTCTTGTTATGGACTAGCTACTCTGAGTCTTTCATTCTTCAGGTGCCATAAATCTGCCTGGCACCAAGATCAGCTGTCTTGATGCTTTCACCTCATGTATCCAGGGATGTCCCCAGACTTCCACTGCTGGTAGACAGTGCTCCCCCCCCATACGCTTAATCTCCACATGTTCTCTGAGTCTGGTTCCTCAAGGTGCCCTCAGTCATTTCAAACCCAAAGCCTCCAGAACCAAGCCCATCATTGTCACATCTCCCCACTCTTCAGTTACCATCAGAAATACAAGGCTGTCATGAATCACCAGTATATAAACTTATTTTTCAAATTCCCTATGTTCTACCTGAGTTCCCAGTCCTTCCTCTCCAAACTTCCCACTTAGCCCTCTTGGTATGTTAAAAACAAATGCTTCCATATCCTCCACTGC